TTGTGGGTGGAAGACATCAATAAAACATGTTCTGGCCAGGCACAATGGCTCACACCTGTAATCCCAGCACTTTGGGAGGGTGAAGCAGGCAGATCACCTGAGCTCAGGAGTTCGAGACCAGCCTGGGCAACATGGTGAAACCCCAACTCTACTGAAAATACAAAAATTAGCTGGGCATGGTGGCGGGTGTCTGTAATCCCAGCTACTTGGGAGGCTGAGCCAGGAGAATCACTTGAACCTGGGAGGCGGAGGTTGCAGTGAGCTGATATCGTGTCATTGTACTCCAGCCTGGGAGACAAAGGGAGACTCCACCGTAAAAAAAATAAAAATAAAAAGAAATGTGTTCTGACTGGCAGCAATGTGTTGCTCCAGAAAACATTGAGTCTATAGAAGACTTAGCAAGAAATCTCCTGAAATGAGTATCAGCAAGCCATTTACTGTAAAGGATAATTATACAGATTCAGGAATAGGTTTAGACTGAAAATCTAAAAATTACTGGGGATACTGTGTCTGCCAGTGAAGAAATTGCTGCCACATGAGTACAGTACAAGAAGATATTTTATGAGATATCACAGCCACATAACTTTTATTACAGTATATTATAATTGTTCTATTTTATTATTAGTTATTGTTGCTCATCTCTTATTGTGCCTAATTTATAAGTTAAATTTTATCATAGGTATGTATGTATAGGAAAGAACATAGGATATATAGGGTTTGGTACTGTCTACAGTTTCAGGGATCTACTGGGGGTCTTGTAAAGTTATCTCCTGAAGATGAGGGAGAGACCACTATACCACTTTTTCTTTATCCATTTGTCCATCCACAGACATTTAGGTTGCTTCCATGTCCTGTCTATTGTGAATAATGCTGCAGTGCAATGAACATGTGAGTGCAGATCTCTTCCAGATCCTGATTTCAGTTCCCTTGGCTATATAACCGAAGTGAGATTTCCGGATCATCTGGTAGGTCTGTTTTTAAGTTTTAAGGAACTTTCATACTATTTTCTATAGTATCTGCACCAATTTACATTTCCATTAACAGTGTTCAAGGGTTTCCTTTTTTCTACATCCTCATCAACATTCGTCATTATTATTATTATTTTTTTTTTTTTTGAGATGCAGTCTCACTTTCTTGCCCAGGCTGGACTGTAGTGGTGTAATCTTGGCTCACTGCAACCTCCACCTCCCAGGTTCAAGCAATTCTCCCGCCTCTGCCTCATGATTAGCTGGGACTACAGGCAAATGTCACCATGCCCAGCTAATTTTTGTATTTTTGTAGAGATGGGGTTTCACCACGTTATCTAGGCTGTTCTTGAACTTCTGACCTCAAGTGATCTGTCTGCCTCAGCCTCCCAAAGTGCTAGGATTACAGGTGTGAGCCACTGTACCCAGCAATACATTATCTTTTATTGTTTTATAATAGCCATCCTAACAGGTGTGAGGTGATATCTCATTGTGGTTTTGATTTGCATTTCCCTGATGATTGGTGATATTGAGCACCTTTTCATGTATCAGTTGGCCATTTGTATGTCTTCCTTGAATAAATGTCTATTTAGTTTATTTTTAAATCAGGTATTTTTTGCTATTGAGTTGTATGAGTCCCTTATATATTTTAGATATTAAACCTTTATCAGATGCATGGTTGGCAAATATTTTTCTCCATTTCGTAGGTTGCCTTTTCACTCCTGATTGTTTCCTTTGCAGTACAGAAGCTTTTAAGTTTGATGTAGTCCCACTTGTTTATTTTTGCTTTTGTTGTCTGTGTCTTTGCTGTAATATGGTGTCTTGTCAAGAAATTATTGCCAAGATGAACGTTAAAAACTCATAGGCAGGTGTTGAACAATGAGAACACTTGGACGCAAAGAGGGGAGTATCACACACTGGGGTCTGTTGTGGGGGGCTACAGGAGGGATAGTGGGAGGGACGGTGGGGAGGGATAACGTGGGGAGTAATGTCAGGTATAGGTGATGGGGGATGGTGGCAACAAACCACCTTGCCATGAATGTACCTATGCAACAATCTTGCATGATCTGCACATGTACCCCAAAATCTAAAGTACAATTTTAAAAAAAGATTTTAAAAAATTTTCTCTACATTTTCTTCTAGGAGCTGTACAGTTTCAGGTTTTATGTTTGATTCTTTAATCCATTTTGAGTTGATTTTTGTGTATAGTGTAAGATAAGGGTTCATTTTCATGATTTTTAATGAGGGTAGCCCATTTTCCCAACACTTTATTATATAAACCATTACCCCTTTTGTCACTCAGAAGCCATTCTTGTCTTTTGTTCAAAGGAAGAACTCTTATCTATAATACAGAGGAGACACAAAATTCTATAAACTATTGTACCATCATGTGATGGTGTTGATTTAATTACATTCCTATCTGGGACCTAAATTATAATGTTAGCCACCATCAGACTGTTCATCAAAGAAGCAAGAAGAAGAGAGTGAGAAAAAGAAATAGTTGATTAACATAAAATATGCATAGCTGTTACAGTACCCAATTGCTGAAATGGGAAATGAATCCCCTCATCTCCCTCCCCCTACACACAGGGAATCAGCCCTCCTCAGCATGCAATCTTTAAAATAAACACCCCTAGGGCAGTTACCAGGCAAGCTAGTGTTGAGCCTCTTCTGGATCCACACTCTCATCTGCTTCAAGTCCACATAGAGAGTTGGACCCAACATAGCATGAATTAGAGAAAGAACAAGCCCTGGCCCAAGAGAGAGAGCTTTTATCCCAAAAGAGTCATAAGACCTCACCAGTCTGTATTGACTGGAGCACAGGAAGCATATTCAGAAGTGAGTTCTAAGGGTATGAGGGAGACCAACAAGGAAGGAATGTAAGACTTGATAGAGATGAATTCTTCAGCACAGCTGTATTCATCCAGAACTCAAAATTTAAAGTTCAAGCACTAGGGTATGTTATAATGGTATGTTAAATTGGCTAATTAAAACCTGGACCCAGTGATGGCCTGCAGCTATTGAAGTTAAAATGAATGAACTCTGATGTCCTATGGAATACAGAGTCCAAAGGTTCAGGGAAATTGATATAATGGAGTGAATCTATGTACAAATTGTTTAGCTACCCCCCAGCCATGCCTCCTGGAAACACACAGAGGATACCACCTTCACCAAGGCATTTAGAAAAAAAGCATCAATGTCTTTCCTCTTTCCTCTCATTCCTGGGAATTTAGTCTGAAAGCCATTAGGTGGAGGCAGAGCAATGGAGGCATCCGAGGGGCAGAATGTTAAGCCTGAGTGGAGTAGAAAGGTGTGGTGTAGAGTTATGGAGCTTAAGCAGAGTATGAGGGCACCTGTGCACGTATGGAGGGCATCCCAGATGTGGACAGCCTGAATGGAGCGGTGAAGCCCAAAGTGGGAAAGGAAGAACTTCGGGAAGAGATGTGGCCTGGCTTGGGGGTATATCACTCAAGTAGGGTTAGGAGAGTCTCCACACTACCGGACAGTCCAGCATGAGGAGTCACAGCCAGAGCAGAGGGAGAAGGACATCCCTAAGAAGAAGTGGCTTTAGAGTCTGAAGACGATGAGGAAAGCATCCGCAAGGAGTGAAGGGGAATGCCTGGTGTGGGGAATCAGAGCCCAAGCGGAGTGAGGAAGGCACCCTTCAAGAATGGAACAGGGTATTTCAAAGCCTAAGTGAGGTTAAAAGAGTGTCCATACTAGAGCACAACCCAGCATACAAAGTCAGTGCTAAGCAGAGTGAGGAAGGCATTCACACAGAGATGCAACCTGGCATGCAGTATCAGAGCCCAAGTGGAATGAAAAGAGTGTCTATGAAGGCAGGCAGACTCATACAGAGCATCAGATCCTGTGCCAGGTTGAGTACCTCTATGAAATGAGGTGGCAGCCTAAAGCACGGTGTCAGAACCTGAGCAGAATGAGGAAGGCGTACATGCAGGGGTAAGATCTGGAATGGGGTGACAGAGTCCAAGGAGAGTAAGAAGGGTATCCATGAAGGGGAGAAACTAAGAGTCCACTGGGATGAGAGGAATGCTTCCATGCAGGTGAAGGACCAGCCTAGAGTGAGAAATTTTATCCAAGCAGAGTGAGGAGGATGTCTCCAGGAAGAGGGTCCCTGTTATAGGGCATCAGAGCCCAAATAGTGTAAGAAAACCATCCATGTGGGAAGAGGGGCAGCCTGGCATTGAGGGGTCAGAGCCTGAGAAGAGCAGGGTGAGGAGGGTATCCCTGGAGAGATAGGGCCTAGCATGGGGTATCGAAACCCACAGTGCAATCAAGAGGATATCCACACAGTGGAAGTGAAGTGGGATGGGATGGGCGGTGTGCAATATCACAGACTGAGTGGGACAGAATTAGAATCCTCACAAAAACAGTATCCTGGTATGGCACATCAGAAGCCAAGAAGGGTGAGGAAGACATCCATGCTGAGGAGTGGCGTGGCAATCAGGTGTCAAAGCCAAAGTGGAGTTAGGAGACATCTTCGTAGGTGAAGGGGTGGTAAAGACATAGATTACATAGAGGGAGGGGCCTAAAAAATTCATTAAGAACAACTGAAGCCAAGTTTCTCACTGTCAGAGAAGGGAGTTACCAATATGGTAAGGGAAAAAAAATAAAATAAACCTTATGGTATCCTACTGGAATCGGAGGTCCAATTAGAACTTGTGATTTTTAATATAAAAATATAGATGTGGCTCATGCCTGTAATCCAGTCCTTTGGGAGACCAAGGCAGGCAAATCATAAGGTCAGAAGTTCAAGACCAGCTTGGCCAATATGGTGAAACCCCGTCTCTACTAAAAATACAAAAATTAGCCAGATGGCGCCAGTCCAGGCTACTCTGGAGGCTGAGGCAGAAGAATCACTTGAACCTGGGAGGCGGAGGTTGCAGTGAGCTGAGACCACGCCACTGCACTCCAGCCTGGAGACAGAGTGAAATTCCATCTCAAAAAAACAAAAACAGAAACAAAATATAGATGCAAATGTTTGTAGGCATATATTCATATTTAGATAGACAGCTACACACACACACACACACACACACACACGTATATATATGTCCTAGCTGTAGCTGCTGAGATGGACTAGGATCAATGACATCCCAGTAGCAACAATCACACATAGCACCAAATCTCAGTTTCTTTTTTTTTTTTTGAGACGGAGTTTCCCTCTTGTTACCCAGGCTGGAGTGCAATGGCGCGATCTCGGCTCACCGCAGCCTCCGCCTCCTGGGTTCAGGCAATTCTCCTGCCCCAGCCTCCTGAGTAGCTGGGATTACAGGCACGCGCCACCATGCCCAGCTAATTTTTTGTATTTTTAGTAGAGACGGGGTTTCACCATGTTGACCAGGATGGTCTCGATCTCTTGACTTCGTGATCCACCCGCCTCGGCCTCCCACAGTGCTGGGATTACAGGCTTGAGCCACCGCGCCCGGCCTCAAATCTCAGTTTCTAAATATCATTTTGGGCTAAAAGAAGCCAAAGGTCTTTGCAGAACTGACTGATTACAGAGCTGGGACAGAAAATGACAAGATGAGGCTGGAACACCCTTTTGAGCTAGAAAGCAAGGAGGTGCTCAAGAATGATTGAAAGCAAGTCGAAAGGACATATAAACCAGCTTAAAGGGACTACCATTGGCCAAATTCCTGACAATTTGAGGATTAGATTAATGATAGGAACAAGTTATTGAATAAAATAAGAAACTATGAGCCCATACTGGTACAGTTACTCCTTGACTTATCATGAGTTTACACCCCAATAAATCCATTGTACATTGAAAATATCATGGGTCAAAAATACATTTAATACACTGAATCTAGCAAAAATCATAGCTTAGCCTAGCCTGCTTTAAACGTGCTCAGAACACTTACACTAGCCTATAGTTGGGCAAAATCATGTAACACAAAGCCTATTTTATAATAAAGTATTGAATATTGTACACAATTGGGCATTTTGTAGACACGACAAGATGTGAAAACACAAAACACAATATCCAAGCAATGTTGTCAACACAGTACACTGTAAATATTGGTTGTTTACCTCATGATCTCATGGCTTATTGGGAGCTGTCATAGTCTAGCATTGCAGGATACTGCATATCGCTAGCCTGGAAAAAGACCAAAATTCAAAATTTGAAGTACAGTTTCTACTAACTGCATATTGCTTTCACATCAATATTGAACATCATAAATCGGGGACCATCCGTATATGCATATATAGCAGCAAATGTATTCTTAACGAAATAGAGAGGAAATAATAATGACAGTTATAATCCATGTTTCTGTAACTGGTCTTGTGGTCATAGCTGGTATTTATAACTATGTTCTACTTCCATCTATATTCCCTTTGCCTTCAAAAAGCCCCTTAGCTGGCTGTGGTTCTTTACTTGGCATGGTGACCCAAACATTTGTTTCCGAAGGGTCTGGGTCATTTGCAGTCCTACCTGAATGGGGTTGTTACAGTTTTCCATTAATCTTAGCCAGAAGGTGTGGTAATACTAAGAGACGCTCTATAGGATCTCTTGTATTCTAAACATTCTCTTTCTTACCTCCTTTGCAGTGAAGTAATGCGATTTCCCCTTGGTAGTCTGGATCAGTCACCCCAGTTAACACTGTAACTCTTTTCTTAGCCTGTTGACTCAGAGGTATGAGGGGCCCAAAGTGGCCAGGTGGCAGTCTTAACTTCCAGTTCAATGGAATAATTGTTATGTCTCCTGATGGAAGCATTTCTCCCTCTGGAACTAAGATCTCCATGCCAGCAGAGCATAAAATCATAGGAACAAGAAGCAAAATTTTTGCTTATTGGTCAACAAGTAATGGTAAAGTGGTGTCATTCCCATGTCTACTTCTTGATTTTTGGACCTGTGCATCCTCACTATGGGAGATACAGTACCATATATTAGACACTGATTAAGAGCAGAAACAGCCTTCCAAAGAACCTTGCCCCAGGCTTGCAAAGTACTGTCACCTACCTGATGCTGTAACTGTGTCTTCAAAAGGCCATTCCATACTACACAGCCATTAAAAAGAACAAAATTGTGTGGTTTGCAGCAACATGGATGCAACTGGAGGCACAAATATCTTTATAGTTTTTGCTAGTTCGGGTGTCCATCCACATACCTCTTCCCCCCATTTCTTTGTCATCAATTTCCCAGTCATGTTCCTTCCAAGTCCCTGATCATGTAGCCAATCCACTGGCCACATTCCATTAATTGGTCTATAATTACACATCTGGTTCTCTCTCCTTTCAAGCAAAGTGAAAAGCCAGGTATACTGCTTGGTGTTCTGACCACCAGGAGGATTTCCTTTCACTAATGTTCTTTAGGGATGTCCCAGAAAGGGGTTGTAGTGTGATAGCTATCCACTTTTTGGTGGTGCCTTCATATCATGAAGAATTATTTAAACCAGACCCAAGTCTTCTCTTCCTCCATCAAATGATCATAGGCTACTCCCTATAAGACTATAGGTGCAAGCTGGGAGACAGAAGACAGTGTAGCAAGAGTAGGAATCATACATATTTGGGCCATTTATTCATGTAACTTACTCATGCCTTCAGAACCTGCTCAGGCCTAATCACATATATACCACTATTTGATGATGAAGTGCTGCTATGCACACCAAACTTTATGATTTGGTGAGTCAGGTAACACTAGGTTCATGATAGGCAGCTCAAGTCACATGGTAACTTGGGGGCCTGTGGTCAAGAATTAAGTTTCTACTAAGGCCAAGTAGCAGGCAAAGAGCTGTCTCTTAAAAGGAGAGTAGTTATCTACAGATGGTGGCAGGGACTTGCTCCAAAAGGCCTGAGCTGTAATTCATCGAAAAGGGCCCATCAAAAGCTCCAAGCAGCATTTTTATCTGCCACTGACACCTCAAGTACCATTGGATCTATTGGATCATATGGCCCAAGTGGCAGACAGGTTGCATAGCAGACTGGATCTGTTACAGAACCTTCTGTTCTGGGACCTACTCAAAACTAGCAGATTTTTGGGTCACTCAGTAAATAGGCTGGAGTAACAGACCCAAATGAGGAATGTGTTGTTGCCTCTAAAATATAGAAAGGCCCACTAGGCATTGTGCCTCTTTCATGGTCATGGGAGAGTCTAGATTCAACAACTTATCCTTCACCTTAGAAGGGACATCCCAATATGCCCCACAGCAGTAAACCCCTAGAAATTTCACTGAGGTAGAATGTCCTAAAGTTTTAGTCAGGTTTATTTCCCACCCTCTGACACACAAGTGTCTTACCAATAAGTCTAGAATAGTTGCTATTTCTTGCTCATTAGGTCCAATGATCATAACATCATCAATGTAATAGACCAGTGTGTTATCTTGTGAAAGGGAAAAGTGATCAAGATATCTGCAAACTAAGTTATGAAATAGGGCTGGAGGGCTGATATGCCCATTCACAGGCAGGACAGTGACGGTGTTTTACTGACCTTTTCAGCTGAAAGCAAACTGCTTCTGATGGGCCTTACAGATAGAGATTCAGAAAAAGGCATTTGCCAGATCAATAGCTGCATATCAGGTACCAGGAACTGCGTTAATTTGCTCAAGCAATGAAACCACATCTTGTACAGCAGCTGCAATTGGAGTCACCACTTGATTAAGATTACAATAATCCACTGTCATTCTCCAAGATCCATCTGTATTCTACACAGGCCAAATAAGAGAGTTGAGTAGGGATGTGGTAGGAATCACCACCTTTCCATCTTTCAAGTCCTTGACGGTGGCACTAATTTCGGCAATCCCCCCAGAAATGAAGTATTGCTTTTGATTTACTATTTTCCTGAGTAGAGGTGGCTCTAAGAGCTTCCGTTTGGCCTTTTCCACCATAATAGCCCACTCTCCATAGGAAGGGAACCATTGTGGAAATTCTGCCAGCTGCTATCTATTCCAATTATGCACCTTGGAACTGGGGAAATAACTGCAGGTTGCGTTTGTGGTCCCACTGAACCCACTGTGAGTTGGACTTAAGCTAAAACTCCATTGATAACCTGATCTCCATAAACCCCTACTCTGAATGTAGGGCCAGAGTGATGTTTTGGGTCTCCTAGATTCAATGTCAGTTTAGAACCAGTACTCTCTGAAAGATCTGATTTTTTCCCCCGATGCACAGTTACTCTGGTAAAAGGCCACCGGTCCTCTTGGAGAAGACTGGGACAAAGATTAACAGTATACATTTTCAGTAGTGTACCAGGGTTTTTTTCTTGAGGAGACCCAGCCCCCCCTCCATTCAAGGGATTCTGGGTTTATAAACTGGCTTATGTCAGAATTGATTGAGGGACCATGATTCTCTGTTTTTATGATTTGGGTTAGACTTTTGTTGACTTGACCTGGAAGTTTTCTGCTTATACAGATCCAGTAAAAACATAGTAGGCTATCCCAGTATTACACTAATACCAGAACCAGGAAAGGACATAACAAAAAAAGAAAATTCCAGACCAATATCCTTGATGAACATAAATGCAAAAATCCTAAACAAAATACTAGCTAACTGAATTCAACAGCATATTAAAAAGATTATATACCATGATCAAGTGGGTTTCATACTAGGGATGCAGGGTTTGTTTAACATATGCAAGTCAGTAACTGTGATACATCACATAAGCAGCAGTAAAAACAAAAATCATATGATCATCTCAATAGATGCAGAAAAAGGATTTGACAAAATCCGGTATCCCTTTGTGACTAAAATCCTCAGCAAAATCAGCATAGAAAACATACCTTAAGGTAGGCCAGGCGTGGTGGCTCACGCCTGTAATCCCAGCACTTTGGGAGGCCGAGGCGGGTGGATCATGAGGTCAAGAGATCGAGACCATCCTGGTCAACATAGTGAAACCCCGTCTCTACTAAAAATACAAAAAATCAGCTGGGCATGGTGGCATGTGCCTGTAATCCCAGCTACTCAGGAGGCTGAGGCAGGAGAATTGCCTGAACCCAGGAGGCGGAGGTTGCGGTGAGCCGAGATCGCGCCATTGCACTCCAGCCTGGGCAACAAGAGCGAAACTCCGTCTCAAAAAAAAAAACCAAAAAAAAAAAAAAAAAAAAAAAAAAAAAAAAAAAAAAAAAAAGAAAGAAAGAAAACATACCTTAAGGTAATAAAAACCATCCATGACAAACCAACAGCCAACATTATACTGAACAGGGAAAAGTTAAAAACATTCTCCTTGAGAGCTGGAATAAGACAGGGATGGCCACTTTCACTACTTCTCTTCAACATATTACTGGAAGCCCTAGCCAGATCAATCGGACAAGAGAAAGAAATAAAGGGCATCCAAATTGGTAAAGAGGAAGTCAAACTGTCACTGTTTGCCAATGCTATGATTGTATACCTTGAAAACCCTAAAGACTCATCCAAAAAGCTCCTAGATCTGATAAATAAATTCAGTAAAGTTTCAGGAGACAAAATCAATGTACACAAATCAGTAGCACTGCTACACACCAACAGCGACCAAGCTGAGAATCAAATCAAGAACTCAACCCATTTTAAAACAGCTGCAAAAATAATTATAATTTTAAAAACATAGGTATATAACTAACCAAAGAGGTGAAATATCTCTACAAGAAAAACTAGAAAACACTGCTGGAAGGAATCACAGATGACACAAATGAATGGAAATACATCCCATGCTTAGGGATGGGTAAACTCAATATTGTGAAAATGATCATATTGCCAAAAGCAATTTATAAATTCGTTGGAATGCCCATCAAAATGCCACCATCATTCTTCACAGAACTAGAAAAAAAATCCTAAAAGTCATATAAAACAAAAAAGAGTCCACATAGCCAAAGTAAGACTAAACAAAAAACAAATCTGGAGGCATCACATTACCCAACCTCAAACTATACTCCAAGGCTATAGTTACCAAAGCAGCATGGTACTGGTATAAAAACAGGCATTTAGACCAATGGAACAGAATAGGGAACTCAGAAATAAACCCAAATACTTAACAGCCAACTGATCTTCGATGAAGCAACAAAAACATAAAGTAGGGAAAGGACACACATCCATTCAACAATTGGTTCTGAGATAATTGGCAAGCCACATGTACAAGAATGAAACTGGATTCTCATCTATCACCTCATACAAAAATTAACTCAAGATGGATCAAAGACTTAAATCTAAGACCTGAAACTATAAAAGTTCTAGAGAATAACATTGAAAAAAACTTTTCTAGACATTGGCTTAGGCAAATACTTCATGACCAAGAACCCCAAAGCAAACACAACAAAAACAAAGATAAATAGTTGGGACTTAGTTAAACTAAAAAAGCCTCCTGCGCAGCAAAAGAAATAATCAGCAAAGTACTCAGACATCCCACAGAGTGGGAGAAAATATTCGCAAACTATGCATCCATTAGACAAGGACTAATGTCAAGAATCTACAAGGAACTCAAATGAATCAGCTAGAAAAAAACAATAATCCCATCAAAAACGGGGCTAAGGACATGAATAGACAATTCTCAAAAGAAGATATGCAAATGGCCAACAAATATGTGAAAAAAAATCCTAAATATCACTAATTATCAGAGAAATTCAAATGAAAACCACAATTCAATACCACATTACTCCTGCAAGAATGGCCATAATTTAAAAATAAAAAAAAATAATAGATGTTGGTGTGGATATGGTAAAAAGGGAACACTTTTACACCGCTGGTGGGAATGTAAATTAGTACAACCACTATGGAAAACAGTATGAAGATTACTTAAAGAACTAAAAGTAGAGGCCAGGCACAGTGGCTAAGGCCTGTAATCCCAGCACTTTGAGAGGCCAAGGTGGGCATATCTCGAGGTCAGGAGATTAAGACCATCCTGGCTAACAAGGTGAAACCCTGTCTCTACTAAAAATACAAAAAAATAGCTGGGTGTGGTGGAATGCACCTGTAGTCCCAGTTACTCGGGAGGCTGAGGCAGGAGAATCACTTGAACCTGGGAGGCGGAGATTGCAGTGAGCTGAGATCACACCAGTGCACTCCAGCCTGGGCAACAGAGCAAGACTTTGTCTCAAAAAAAGAAAGAAGAAAGAAGAAAGAAGAAGAAGAAAGAAGAAGAAGAAGAAGAAAAAGAAGAAGAAGAAGAAGAAGAAGGAAGAAGGAAGAAGGAAGAAGAGGAGGAGGAAGAAGAGAAGAAAGAAGAAGAAGAAGAAGAAAGAAGAAGAAGAAGAAGAAGAAGAGGAGGAAGAGGAAGAAGAAGGAGGAGAGGAAGAAGAAGAGGAGGAGGAAGAGGAAGAGGAAGAGGAAGAGGGAGGAGGAGGAGGAAGAGAAAAAGAAGAAGAAGAAAAGAAGAAGAAGAAGAGGAAGAAGGAGAAGGAGAAGAAGAAGGGGAAGAAGAAGGAGGAGGAGGAGGAGGAGGAGGGGAGGAAGGAGAAGAAGAAGAAGAGAAAAAAGAGAAAAGTAGAACTACCATTAAATCCAGCAGTCCCACTATTGGGTATCTACCCAGAGGAAAAAAGTCTTTATATGAAAAAGACACTTGCACATGCAAGTTTATAGCAGCACAATTCACAATTGCAAAAATATGGCACCAGCCTAAATGTCCATCAACCAACAAGTAAATAAAGAAAATGTTATATATACATGTATATATAAACACATAATTTTACCAATTGAGTGACTGTGGTTCCTACTGCAAGGTCTGGCCTACAGAGAAGAGCAATCACATTATATATACATATATATGTGTATATATATATTTCATTATATTTATGTATATGTATACATATATAATGAAATATAT